AGTTCGATCGTACAAAGTCCCGTGACGTTCGTCATTAATTCGCGTGCACGCGAGTTTGTAATTTCAGAAAATATCGAGCGGCTTTTCGAAAGAACAAAATATGCGGGGTTTGGGAAAGGTGAATGAATACAAGTCGCGCAATTAAGTAGATATATCACACATTTATAAATTTTCAAGTAAATACACAGTAGAGAGAGATAACGGTTACGGTACAATTTATAGTTGGTTGCACGGGATGGTGTAACCGTCCTTCACTTTAACTCCTTCGTCCTGCACACCTTGCGCTTCGACACCTTTCTGGTATATAGATAAAATAACAATTCTATATGTATGATATTCATACATATATATATATATTCATATATATATGAATATCACCTAATCACTCGTACTCGGAGTCCGCGGTGCAAAAATCCCTTCGATATACAATCTCGTCTGCACAAGCTGCATCGTACAAAATCTCTACGGATATAATTCGTTCGCCATAAACGCGGCAAAAAAATTATCTCTGCCGGCCTATTGTTACACTCGTTTATTAATGGGATAAGCATCTCGGCTACCGCTGTTGTAACGGGAGGGAAGCGAATCCGATTGTAAAAAGTTCACGCGCGACCTTTATCGCGCGCACGGTAACGTGTCGTTACGATTTATCGCCGAGCTTCCCGAGCGGGGATCCATCGTCGCGAGATGCCAGTGAGAGTCGCATTAATTGCTGCTATTTAATGCAATCGAATAGACACGAAGATGGGATCGCGAAACCAATTTCGATGTGAGGAGCGGTTACGGGACGTTCTTCCGCTGTCTTTTGTTTGCTTTCGTTTTATCGTACGCCTCGTGCGCGACACGATTCCCTCTTATTACCGAACTCATTAGTACGTCGAAGTTGACGGGTGCAACCACCGATATTATCATATCGCAGGGCGGGATTCGTCTACGCTTCGCTGTAATCACGGTGTTATCTCGTTCGCGATTGCTGCCTCGATTTACATGTAAACACCTCGTCCACCCGGTGAGACCCCCATTAAGTTGCGTCTTTTAATTAATAAAGGGACGCTAATCGACGTCTACACCCCTCCCTCCGCTCTGTACGCCGATACGTTGCACGATATTGCAAGTAGCAAAAGAAAAATATTCAACTTTCAACAGAGGATTCGATATTGAACCGCGTTCGTGCGCAATGAACACGTTAGTTCCGTTGACACTAAGATACTGGATAGGATTATTAGTCTGCTACTGAAAGTACGAAAGATAGAGATTTAAATATGCAACGCGTGCTTGTAAAATACGTCCGCGAGCGGTACCGTCTTTAAAAACAAAGCGAAACTTTGACAGGCTTTTAATGCCACTCGTGATTAATTGCGACCAGCCCGTAACAAAGGGAAAGGAAAAACGCACAATCCTCGCTCTCGCGTGTTTGTTTTGCTAACGATGTTAATAGAATTTTGCAATCTGCGCGTATCGTCAGCCGACAGCGCGCTAAACAATACGACTCGATCGCGCACGGAGTCGCATCGTCGCCGTCGCGCACGCGATTTATCACGCGACGCCGCCATTGTTTCTAAAACGCCGAAAGAATTTTGCTCACGACACCGCCCGATAATGACATTACGGCGCCGCGATGCGGGCGAAATGGAATCATTAATAATTCCGTAACGATATTATTATCGGCACGCGTGATTGATTAAGAGACCCCGGGCTTCTCTCGCTCTCCCTCTCTTTCTCACCCGTGCCCGAAAGCGAAAAGAAATTCATTTCGCGGGAGCCCCGCGTGTCGGCGGCGCGACATCGGCCGAGATAACGATACAACATCGTCACGCTCGCGACGACGAGAGAGAAAGAAACACGTATACGGGAGAATAAAATCATTAATAATTCCGTAATACCCGGTTATACGACGCGTGTGATTTATTAAAGGGACAGTCGTCGCGCATTGATCTCGGGTCGTCGTGGAAAAATCACGTCGCCGCGGTGTCCGGCGATAGCGCGACGATATTTATCGGCGATCGGGGGGAAAAACAACCGGATGCGCTTCTGCGGGAATAAATCGGGTGTTAAGTCGAGGCAGCAGGACAGAAGAATATATACGGACGGTTTTGAGCGCGAAAGTTAGAGACGGAAGAGGAGAGAGAAAGAGGAAGAGAGACGATGGAAGAGAGACGGTGAGAGGCGGGGAGAGAGAGGAATAGAAAGAGAGAGAGAGAGAGAGAGAGAAAGAGAGAGCATCGTGATAATGCCATACATTGTACATATACACATCTATAATCACATAATACTCGATTAAAGATTGGTCGGTATGTATGCGTGATTTATCATTTAATTTATTTTAAGTTAAAACCTCTTTTTACAATGGTATCTTACAATGTGTCACTTTATACATCCAATAGACATCGTCGTAGGTCCGCGTGTGCGAAAGGATCGCCCGGCCCTTTTACCCCCTCTTTCCCCTTCCTCCCTCAAAGTCCTCTCTCCCGTCGTCTCGTCGCACCCCTAATTTCACACCCACCGTTTGCTCTTCTCGCGTGTTTGTGCGAATGCGATCGACCTCTCTTAAAAATCATATATATATATATATATATTTTGTTTCTTATTTGTTTTTACACAGGCTACACGCTACTTCCTAATAATACTATTAATAGATGCTTCCTTCCTCTCCTCCTTCCACGGCCCCCATTTCCGAGCTGGACGCGCGAAGACCTCGCACGAAAATGATCGTCGACTTTTGCTCTCGCTCCCTTCAGTCTTTTGGAAAATCGCCGCCACTCGTCGTCCCCCGCTCCCGTTTCACGTCCTCGCGGCGGCGGAGGAAAAGATACCGCGCGATTTCCTCCCGAGAATCACGAACCTGCGTCGCCTGCCTTCTCCCTCCTCCCCCCCCCCTTCCAACTCCCCCCCCCCTCCCTCCGTATTACCTATGTACGTCTATTTAGTCGCAAAAAACATACGCGAGTGGTAAAACCTCTAAAATCGAAAAATCACAATGTGTTCGGAACTCAAGCGAGTGAGTCTTTCACGAGTAGCGATCAATCAATGGACAATCAATCGAATGATGACCGGATAGCGGTAATGACAATGCTAATGATCACCCGGTGGTCTCACCTCTGTACGACATCCCGTGCGTCGTGTTCACTCGCCGATGAGTCTTCAATTATATCCTGTTGACTATTTATATGCATGGTTGTTTATGACGCGCAATTAGTTGCTAATTATGCACAATCACTTAATGCGCGCGACGGTCGCCCGCCCGCGCGTTCCAATATATATTTATAATACATATATTTTATTTTCTTCATTTGCATATACATATACATATATATGCATATATGTACACACACATATATATACATATATAAATATATATATATATACTATTATTATTACAATAACGATACACAATTTCGAAGATACAAAATTTACACTTGCCTTTAGTCGTGTATTTCTCGCGTTTCATGCGCTGACTGTTCCGGTGTGTGTACGTGTGTGAGTGTGTAAGTGTGGATCCTTCGTGTCCCCCGTGACTAAATTATGAAGCTAAACGCTCGGTGCGATCCGGCGATCGCATCGGCGCGCCCGGTCGGGGCCGATCGATCGCGATCGTCGGAGGCTTCGTGTATAATTTACGAATTTACTCTAGCGCCTTTTTTTTATTACACTTACGTAAACTATCAGTAACCGGTACGACACACAGAACGGTGCTGGACCAATGGACGCCGACAGTGGACAGGTAGAGGTAAGGTACAATCGAAAATCCTATGGGGAAAAGAAACGGGGAAAAGCTCGATTTCGGCGACTACCGGCGTTAATTCGCGACCGAGGCCTACGATTCACCTCGAGATATCGTAGAAAGGCGTTTCAAATCCTGGGAAATGAATTATGTTTCTGATCGGTCAAGCTCGATCGACTTTTCCTTGGTGAGGGGATTGGAATTCCGCGATTGCCCGTACGATAAATGCCTCCTAAAAATCGCGCACCGCGCGATCGAGAGTGCGCCTCGGTTATTATTGCTGCTCGCGTCTACTTGAATAAAAATGCGTTCAAGCCGCCGGAAGGAGAAATATCAGTTTTTGTTTTCTTTTTTAACGATCTATATTGCTACACAGTGAAAAGTATAGTCGCTCTTTAGAAAGAGAGGAGGTTGCGGCGTTCTCCCTTTCGAAAGAGTTAGGATATAGCTTCGTAAATTACGTTTGCGAGACTGTTAATTGCCGTTTCGTTTAATTGCGGCCGCACGACACGCGGGCGGCTTCGACGAGAGCTCACGCGAAGCGGACACGCGAAAACTCGTCGGCGCGACGGACGCGACTCTGAGGAACGTCCAAACGATCCCGCACCGCGTTACGAACGCCCGTTAATAGACATCATGAAATTGCACGATTCCGCGCCGACTCCCGTGCGTAGCATGCACGCGTGTTCCGGAACCCCGCGCGCCTGCAGAGCACTTGCCCGCGACTCTTCGCACTCGGGAACGAATTTTGGGCGAGAAGCGCCGCCGCGATCCCGGGCGTGCCCACCGCGCCGTCGGCCATAACGCGAATTATGGATCCCGCGCGACGCGCCCCGGTCACTCGATCGCTCGCCCAGAATCCTCCGAGGAGTCACCTGAAACAGGTCGCCACACGCACACGCGCATCCACTCTTCCCGCACGCACTCGCTTCTCACGCACACTCGTACACGCGCACATAATATAAATTCTTGTATCTATATATTTATTTACATGCTATATATCATATATAAGACTCAATACAAGCTTGATTTTTTCCTTTGTACTTGGGGCCGGGGCTCGATGGCCCTACATGAAACTTTACATATTTACATGAGCTTTCACTTGAGAAAGATCCGACAGGCGCGCACTCCTATACGGCCGTGCACAAGGACGCGAGATCCCAGGATCCCGCGTGTCGGGATTTTCGTGTCGTCGTGGTGATCGATCGTGGGCCCCTCGGCGACGGGGCCCGCGTGCGAGAGAAAGAGAAGAGGAGCGGTTTTGTGTGTTTAGTTTTTCTTTTTTTTTTCTGGGTTTTCTTTCCGTTCTTTTTACATTACAACGAGACAGTGGTGGGCTGCGTCCTGAGCTGCTAGTCACTCGCGATTCATGTGTACTCCGATCGCCAGCCGGTCTGAAACCAGACAAAGATTACCACACTCTTGAGATGCTCTACTTGCCGGCCGCGAGTGAAGGCCCTCCTTTCGCGCGCGCCGGCGCGAATAATATTATCTCGCTTGGAAACGGAGACGGACCCCGGTGTGGCAACGGCGATCGAAACTCAACATCGTCTCGGAAACGCAACGTTTACATTCTGCGTATCGAGTCCCCTTAGTTCTCTCCATCGAGCGAGACTGACATTTCGGAAAATATGGATCTAAACGCGACGGTCGAATCATATCGCGACGTAAGCGCAGCGCGTTAAGCTCGCCTGACGACTCGAGGGGGATCGGCAAGCTCCACGCGGTGGATCCTGATCGATTATCGGCGGCCGAAGCCTTTGGCCGATCGGCCGACGAAGGTAACAATCGTGCACTCACCATCGCGTTCGTCGTGGCCGCCAGCTGTAGACCCTGAAGACTCGTCATGTGATGAGAATGGGAATGCGAATGCGAGTGCGGGTGGATGGGGGGCGGCGCCGGTGGCGCAAATCCCTGATGAAGACCTCCGGCCACGCCGACACCCGTGTGATACATGTAATGCTGCATCGCCGGATGCATCGTGTGATGATGCTGCGACGTACCTGCAACAAGTAATGGGAAACGTCGCCCTTTTAAAGTCCCCCCTGCGCCCATGAATTTCGCATAAGAGACCTCGAGAGATACGTCGGATTCTTTTCGTTCCGTGCCGGAATCGTCCGCGGAGGTGGTTCTACGCTGTGGGAAACGTCGTGCGGTCTTGGCGTTAAGTGCGCGCTGTCGTTAACTCGAGTTAAATCTCAATTTAACGTAGATAGATGTAGAAGACGATCCTCTCTCTCTGTCTCTAGCGTTATATATGATATTTGTAATAACTTTTGCAACACCTTTCTAATCCGCGACTTGAAAACGATCAAGTTTACGGGAACAGAAAAATGAGATCTCTGAAGAATTCGACTTACCCATCGGCGATCCAAATCCTGAATGGAAGGGCTTGTTGTCGAGATCAAGGTGTCCGCTGGCCTTGATCATGTCGCCCATGACGCCGCCGAGGCCTAGGCAGCCGCCGGCCTTCTTCTTCTTGCTTTTCGACGAGAGCTTCCTGTTTCTCGTCTGGATGCCCTCCTTCTTCATCGTCAGCGGCCGGTTCACCTGCAACAGTCGTAGACAACAGTTCGCTAAGTTTAGAATTTACACTAGCGTAAGGAGTGCGATTTGTCGCGCGCGACTATCCCACATACGACAATCGCGGCTCGTTCCATTATTAGCGGCGATCAAGTGTCTAACTGTGTAAATGTGTGGCTGCGCCGTTAAAGACAGGCCGTTAATTGAATCTCAAAGAAATTAAGATGCCCCGAATGCGCCCGAAGAAATTAAGGCGATACGTGACGCAACCGCGACATTTCCGTGAGACAGTTTTAAGAAAGAGAATAAAAGAACTATATGTAATGAACAACGTGAAAGATCAGCCGTCAGGAAGGACCGTAAAATTGCCGGCGCGAACAATGCGGTGACGTAACGGGAAAGAAAGAGAAATAAGAAGGAAGCGTCGCGGATCGTCGGGAGATGTTATTCATCGGAGTTGCAACGCGCGCAATGCGTTTTCTTCGTCCGATCGCGCGGCGATGCTCGGCGATGCGCTCTGTACACAGGATCGTAAATCATCGCGTGTTGCATGTTCGACGGACGGTAGAGCGCCGTGCGGGGAATGCCCCTCTTTATTCTAAACTTCAATCTGCGATTTTTCCTCTCCGCAACGTTCCATTCGGATTCTCATGCCCGGCCGCCGCGCTAAATCAATTCTCGTTGCGTTCTTCTCGCCCGTGAAAGTCGAACCCCGTCCGATGGGCAACGTCTATCTGTTCCTGCGATTTAATTCAATTCATAATACCGGATTCGGAAACGGCGAGTGTGGCGCAGAGAAATGTGCGCTGCTTACAATTAGTACACGAACGAAAGGGTCCGAGTTCAAATCCACGGGCACCGTTGGTTTTTTCGGAATCTCCCGAAGGGAAGTGGGCAACCGCCTAGAAAATATCCTACAACACATACCCCTTTAGGGGCTATAACCCTCCAGATTGGAGGTTTTCTTCGGCAAGGTTTAGCAGCCTACCGAAGATGAAGTAAAACCAGGTGCTCAAAGTATACCAGAACAAGCTAGAATAAAACTGGATAAAACAGACTTGGAGCCTTAATACACGAGGAAGAAGAAGAGGATTCGGAAACGGCTCGATCAAAATCGCTTTCCCTCGTCACCCGAAAGATAGTTTCGTTCGCCTATCTCGAAAATTCTGGAAGCGAAAGCGAGACCGTCGCGACGAGGGCTCGAGTGCGGCGCACATCACTGACGTAATCTCCGCCGACTTACCAGACGAGAGCGCGCAATTAAGGAATCTCTCAGATTCCTGGTATTCGCTGGTGGCCGGTGCAATTAACGAATCGACAGTCCTCGAGCGCAATTCGCGAGACGCTGCGTCACCGTTGTGTATCTCGCCCGACCACGCCTCGTCCGCGCACTCGCGCGAAGGAGCGGTATTGTTTCTCGCTGAGAAGAAGAAAGAGGAGGTCGTCGGCTTCTCATTTCGATCGAAATTAACGATAACACGCCTGCTAAAAATAAACGATCGAGCAAACGGGACGGTACGCGATGCGTGGCATCCGCGAGCGATCCTCTATTTTCAGGACAGCCGCCAGCGACGCGTAAATCGCTCATGTTATTGTCATTACAAAATGTCAATTTGCGACAATGACGTAATCCCGAGGGAAAATCGATCGACAAGAGGCGGGGGTCGCGCTACGTTATTTTTTTTCCGTTAAGGTAGCTCCTGCATGAAGGAGCGAATAGTATATTTAATAGCGCATTCAAATTAAACCCTACGTTAAAAAGTATATAACATTTTTTCTTTCTTTTATTTTATCGGCGACCGGGTTAAACATTTCTGTGCACTGATAGATAAAACTTGCAACTGCAACACACTTCAATTTCAATGTCTTCTACTTTTGGTCGGTTTATGCAGGAGGCGCCTTAACACAAAAACGCGGTAGTATAGACCGTCTCGGAGGTTGCATCTGCCCTGTTTGCAATATGATGCAATTATCTTTTGAAGAAGATAATAACTGGAATAAAAAAAAAGAGAAGGAGGAAGTCCGGTACGGGCGTGCGCGGCTTCGTGCACTTTTATTAATTAATCCATTATTTACACACCGATGCTAACGCAGGCGCGCGCGTTGTCCGTGATGCATCATTCATCGGCATGAAAGCGTATTCGCGCGGCACGCACGCATTCACGAAAGACGACAACCTGCGTTGTATCTATTTATGTAAGGGGTGATCGCGCACGGTAGGAAAATTACTACCTTTCAACTGTACTCGAGAGGAGAAAATTGAAAGAATGACAAAATCCAATCGTTGCGCGCCTCATGAATGCGACTGTCTGAACTGCAAAGAATACGGAAAAATATTGCGTGAAACGGCAGCGTGATCGGCAGAGAACGTAAGGGAAGAAAATCGAACTCCGATTATGGGCTGCGCGATAGATCAATAAGATAAATCGTACGATCAAGCGCAGGATCAACTCGGATCTCGAGTTCAATTGGACCGACGGTAAAAGCCGCCGTAGAAAAATCGCCTTGCGAACGAAAGAAACAACGAACGTCAGCTCGAAGAAGAACTTAATTATCGGCTCACCCTGTATATACGACGAAACGCGCACTCGTGTGCGTGCGGAGATGCACGCGCGTTCCGTGCGGTGCTTAAGTACGAAATAAGTATGGTATGCAAGTGTTGTGTATTGCATTGGGCCGGGCCGGGATGGGGGGATAAAGGGGGAGGGGGAGAGGAGGAGAATCGCGGCGCTTTGTAGTCGCCGCGACGTGACACAACTGCCAACTTGGGGGAAAAGGTTCCCGGTATTGCGCTGGACGCGCAGAAGATGGTGTGCGAGTGCGTACTTTTTGTACGTGTGTGTGTGTGTGGGTTTACAAGGCGCATCATCCTCCTCCCCCCGGGCATGTTTGACCGCCCGCAGCCCCCGGCGCGATTTTTTTCACTCGTCTTTCGCACCACCCAAAGCCCGGCGCGGTGTCCAGACGGTCAACGACTCTTTTCGGAATTACGCAATTGGCCGAATTTGTCGAATTAACAGTTGTCCCCGCTGCCTTGGGACGAAACCCAAAGCGCGGCGACCCTTTGCGAGCAGCATTTTTTGTCGAGTGTCGCGCGCACGAAAAAAGTTTCGCGATAATTGGACACAAGTACTGCGATTAATCTACTAATAGGTAGATGTAGATATAGATTAGATATATATATATGTATATAATTTATCTCTTGCAATTATTATGTTGCTTACATTACGTTAAGATCGTATGAAACACTAATTATCCCTTAATGAATCTTTTAATGAGCGACAAAGCGACCAGATGAGCGGTCGAGAGAACGACGCGTAGCGGCAAAGACGAGCGGACGTAAAGGTAGGACGCGAAAGCTCAAACCAATTTGAATACAATACCAACGGATTTAATAGGAATCACCGGAGGTTCGTGAGAGTTCGCGGGTGTCCGAAAGTGCGAGGTGCAAACAAAAGAGACGAGGCCGCAACGGGGAGTGGAAGGGAAATAAAGGAGAAACGTACTCAATTGGCGGAAAAGAGTGGACGCGGAAAGAAAAGGAAAAAAAAGGAGAGAAGGGGGGGAGAGAGAGAGAGAAAAAGGCGAAAAATAAACGACGAGATAAGACGGACGGGAGGAGGATGGACGAGGTGGAGGAAAGACTGGGAATTCGTATGCAGATCGATGTGATCGCACACGATGCAACTGCACGCGGATCGCATACGAAATTTCAACGCAGCCGGGCCATATCGCGGATGGGGCCAGATAAATGAAAAATCTAGTCGCCGAAAAAACCGGCACAGTTATACTCGGATCTTTTTGTCGGCCGATCAGCACCGAAATCGCGTTCCTGCACTCGTCGTGAAATCGTCTTCATTCCAGTCGCAAAGGAAGACAGTCGCTAACCTTCGACATTGCAGCCTTTCATGATGTGTGATAATAGCGCGGACAATAATGCGGAGCGATAACTATGAGACTCTGTGATCAGAGACTGGCCATAAGAGTTCGTCAAATACCCGCGAGTGAGAGAGAAACATGGGCTATCTCACTCGCGGGAATTTGACGAACTCTTATGGCCAGTCTCTGATTACAGGGTTCTCTAACTATGGCTGTTTCGCAGCGCCCATTGTGGCAGATAATCTTAACGTTAATCGACGTCGACGATGCCGTTTAACACGTTTGTTATTCGTCTTAACAGAGTTATAAGCAGAGGACATTTAGGGATTTCACAAAGCTTGAAGAGTTCAGGTAGTTATTTAGTTCGTCACGTTCGTGTAGACGAGCGGACAATCCGACAAGTGATTTACGATTTTCCACGACAAAATCACGTAATTAAAGATAACGGCGGACGAGCACAAAGGCTTAATCTTCTCATATAACATAAACGCGACGAAGAAGAATTTCCATTGTTGCTTATTAAGAGAACGAGAAGGCAATGAAACAGGACGAAGGCCCGCACTTGACGGTTCGTATCTGCGAAGGTGAAGAAGAAGATGACTGAGGGGGACAACCAGAGAATCCTCACGTAGAACAGAGGCACCTTGTCTTTTCCGATATGGATCTCGATCTCGCCGGTCGCTGTTACGCCTGCGTGTGTTCGATGCATGCGCGCGCGTATGTACTGTATATAGTATACATATATATATATATATATATCTGACACTGTGATTGACCGATAAGAGAAATAATTTTAGGACTGCTCCGCTCTGCCTCCCTCCAGTTGTCTTGAGAAAGAAGCTTGGAATAGAACGATCGTTACGTCTCGAAATGGGACTTACCTCAGTCGAAAAAAGACGTCGAAGCGTTTCGTGGTAAATAGACCCTTCGTCTACTTCCCCTTTCAAGACATCTGGTTGAATTTCGACGACGAATTTAGCGATGGCAATTACCGAGAATTATATCAGATTCGATTTAGGTCCAGTTTCACAAACCTCGGTTAACTGTTAACCAGAGTCCAGTCAATTCCCTCCCTATCATTTTCTATTCTATTATCTAAAAAGAGACAGAGAATCGATTAGCCTTCGATTAGCATTTGACCAACGTTT